ATAAGCATGCACACCCCTCCAACTAATACTTTGTGGAAGCACCTTTTGCATTCATTACAGCAGTAACGTGTGTAGACTTTTTATATCCACTGTAAGTTTTTCTTCTTTTTATACAATATAAACAGGCAACAGATTCAAAATATTTGTATGCAGTTTTAGTCAAATCTCTGGATCTCTCGCAGAGGCAGATGTACTGTAGGCACCTGCATCTCTGCCCGAGATAAAGAAGGAAGCTCAGGAAAAGGCAAAGAACACATTACCAAGCATTGATAGCTTCCCTCCTCAATTGGACACAAATCAGTTCACAGTCTGCTCAAAATGATAATTTCAGCCACTGAAAAAGTTTCTATTCAGATTGATATTAATACTGTTTTTTTACCGCTGACATTGAAAAAAACACAATGATCCTGAACACTGAGCTATTGTCCCATTTCTTTGCTTTATTCAGATGCCAAGTGGTAAGGTTCAATCATGCCAGCAGGAGGTATGCATGACCAAAACAGTACACCACGGCAGATAGACTATATTACAGTCCATCTTGTGTCTGATAATGTCTGTCACATCCTCCACAGCATAAATTGGGCTAAAGACATATCCTCCATTCACACTATTCCTTCAACAGACATTTTTGACTTATGACTATCTCAAATGGGAATGTTTACAGCCATTTCAAGACAACATGGATTAAATGTTTATGTAATTTTTAAGATCATTCTATTAAGATCAGTGTGGCCCATAGTGATCAGTGGGAAGGGCATTTAAAAGCAAGAACTTAGGCCTTGTGGGCATGCGGAACAAGCTCCTTATTGAAGCAAACGCTCTAGCTCCTTTCAAGAAACAGCTCAATGAGTTCCTTGGGTCAATTACCTACTATCTAACAAATGAACTACAGTAGATGGGTCAAATGACATCCTTTCGTTTGTAACCATTCTTATGTTCTTATCCTTCAACAGTTTTCTCTTTCTAATGCACTTTCTAGGGGCCTCCACTTTCGACTGTCATTTCTCGTCTTTTGAACTACGAGCTCAAGTCATCTGTCAATCAACTATTTTCATCCCTGTTTCGTTCAGCAATGAATGCTCTGTATTGATGATATATTGTTCATTTTAAATGACGTCTCTCAATCCCTGCCTCATCTTAGAATATCCATGCGCTGTCAGGGTATAAAATAAATTGGTCCAAGTCTGTAGTATCTTTAAATTCTATGCTGCAAAAACACCAGCCTACCTCCAAGGGCACCACTGATCAAGCACTTCAGATACATTTGATATGGAGATTAAATCACTGTTAAATGCTATCACAATAAAAATCTTTAATAACATTTTTTTTAATTAAAACAATTATTTATGCTCATTATCTTCAAGTTCACATATCCATAATTAAAATTAATGCTCTTCCTCATTCAAATTCTCTCTCTCACCCCCAAATAGGGTTATATTGTTATGCAAGAATTTCTGAAATAAATCTGGAAGGAGAAGCGAGCACATATTAAACTTTCCGTTCAGCCGTGTGAAAGATCTTCAGGGACTATAGCTTTTTGCCTAGCTATAATTTTATTTCCATTCCTATGTGTTGTGATTGTTATCTATTCGGTTTATTTTGACACTACTGTATCACGGCATCCACTTAAAAGACAATGTGTTCTCTATATATAGACACCAAATTTCTTCTGGTGTTCTCCTTAGATACTGTGTTAAGGCCTCATAACTATTAATTATGACTTGACATTTGGTGGACTCAAAAAATCTCACACAACATGGCACTCTTTCTCTGCTATAGATGGTCACTTAAAAGTTGAAAGGGGAACCCATATTTTAGCAGCTCTTTTTAATGCCTTCATTCATTCCAGGATTTAGTCTTTATAAGAATATAACAATTAAGGTTACAAGAAAGATTACAAATGAGTGAAGGCCATTCAGCCAAAGTTGTTTGGCTTCTAGCAGTCAATTGATCAGTCGCCTTCCGTTCTTGAAAGCAGTTGCTTCATGGAAGCTGTTTCTTGAAAGAAGTCAGGGTAACAACTTACATCATGGCTGAAAATCTTGTTCTAGACTTTGACAAGCCTTTGCACAAAGAAGAGCATGTTCTTGCGTTTAAATACACTAATAATGTCAATTCAGTTCCCAAAAATCCTAATCATTGAATGATTCACTTGAATTTTATTTACAGAATGTAACTGGGCCATGCTGTATATGTGAGGATTTAAAATGAAAATTGTTCAAAACAGGGTAGGTAATGAGTATAAATATTCTTAAAGGCCATTTTGTATATTTCAGTTTTTGAAAGAAAGAAAGAGCTTAGTTTCTTATTAATTCATCAGACAATACGGTTCTTGGTAAAGGCTGAGAGAACATAACAGACAACCATGATGTATTTTCTTCTTCTATCAAGGGAATTTTTTAGCAATACTTAATTCTGACAATGTATCTGTTCATGGGCATTCTCAATCATATTAGAAAAGAGTGGCTTCAAATTCAGGTCACCTGCTGAATCTGGAAGTCTAGTTAATTCTTCATATTATAATGCAGTGCCTTCAGAAAAATATCATCTTTTGTTCTTTCTAATTTTCGATTATGAAATGCTTGAAAACAAGACAATTGCAATGTAATATTTTTCACGACAGAGTGGATGTCTCTAAATATCACTCTAATCTTATTAAAAAGGTGTAAGGCATGATTAAATAGCATTCATGATTTCCAGTGGCTTGTGCCTGACCTCTAGAGAATATGGATAGAAGTCCAGAATTCTTTTTTCAGTTTTTCCACACGCAGAACTGTTAACAGCTCAAGCAACATAAAGCCAGTATAATCTTCAAATCTTGTAAAACTACAAAGGGAGCTTTTCCACCTATAATTCACCAATAAGAGAAAATGCAGGAATACTAATTGCAGAACTACTGACTTGTTTCTTGGTATGGGAGTTATTCAAATATGTGTTTTTCAAACATTCAATTTGTGTGAACTATATTGTCAAGACCCACAATGAAATAATACAGAATATTATTATATATATATATAAGAATATAATGAAATATACAGAATATACATCATCATGTAGGTCCTGACAAATTACACCAAAGCTGGCTTCACTTTGCTGGACATAATAGCATTTGCAATGGAGGTACTGTTGGCTTTGAAGCTAAATCAACACATCTGACAATGGAGTCTCTCCTCTGTGATGGAAATCATTACGCAAAACAGTGTAACAAGCCCGTTTGTCCCCACAAAGAGGTTATTACAAGATGATTTGTAAACTGTCATGCAGCTGTCAAAATATTCACTTATCTGATCTGCCACAGACCGGTGGAGGTCTGGAGCCCTATGTAATACCTTATTAAACAGCTCACATTTCCATCACTGCTTCCAGAAAATCACACGAACCAAGAAGGAATTAGGCTCCTGTACACATTATATGCATAGGAAGATCATGAGTTCCAGTATTAGCTTTGAGGGTTGGTGTGGGATGTAAAATCAGCCCAAAGGCATGGCCTGCATCCAGATTTACACTGCATAAGTGAGAAAGAGGAGGGGGGTAAGAGAGGGGGATGTGCAATTACACTACTCCCTTTCCAAGGGAGAGGAAAACTGAAAAATGATTGCATATTCTTAGCTCCTATTAGCTGCATGGCTTACAGCACATCAGAAGTGGGCTCTCGCACCCCCCCTGTTGCTCCCCTTTCTCGCCTACTGTGTCCCTTTCCCCGACGCAGGGTCTTCTCATAAGAAAAATACTCTGTTCTTCCACACCAACGCAGGGTAATGTAAAAAAACCCTCAGAAAACCCTGTCCAACTTTAATTCCAATATTTTAAATACCTAACACATCTCTAAACGATATGCAGTGAAGTTTCAAGAATTCACTCAACCAAATGCAATGCCAACGCTGTTTTATCTGTGACCTTCAAGTTATGGCACTTGGTATAGTACAAAAAACTGCTTAACTGTTTAGTGATGCTTATACTTAACTGCAATGATCAGCTACACATTCTTAACTTTAATGTGCTGGTTTATGAATCTTTCCAAATTCTTTATGGCTGTTATTATACTTCAAAAGTATTCTTATGGAAGAAAATAAATAGCAATGCATTACTGATTACATCACAAAGACCTATATTGAAGAGAGGACCCTGTAGTTGTGTTTCTTGTTGGTTTACATGTATATACAGTAATTAAGCAAATGAAAGAAGAAATGCTGTAAAAGAAAGTAAAGTATTCAAGCATCAAGATAAGTCGAGTGTTTCATATTTCAATTATGACCACATATATTGCGTCATAAGATGGTCCCACCATCGCTCCTCAACAGACACAAAAAATATCAAAAGATAAAAAAGATTGTGAGGATCAAGGGCATCCAGAACAAAAAATCGTTTTCCCGGCAAAAATTACACTCTGCCAAATTACTGTAGGCAGGTAACTTTTCTCAAATACAATATCTAATTGAACCTTTGCTGTCTATGGGTCAGCAATCATATTTTCAGTTTTGAAGTCACCACTTAAGGTTAAGGAGTTTGGCAAAACATTACAATTTTAAGTGCAAACTGGCAGCCAATTCTTTAAGCTTGCCTTTCAATGACCCCCAAGGGTTGGTTTCTAAATGTGTGTTAATAATCTCTGCAACGAAAACATTCCATGCAAATCTGTAAATCCTACTTGGTTTTGATGTAAAGAAAAAAAATAAAACCAAAACTAAAAGGACGAACTGCTGTTTTCCAAATATTTTGAGAACTGTTCCGTGTTTTTACTGCTGACATCAACATAAATTTCACGAGTGTCGCCAGCGTGGCTCAGCGTGTGCTCTGCACTGTGAAAACTAAAAAGGAAATTTTGGTTGCCAAGTGGGAAAAATATCAAAGCTCTGTGGTCAGCCACATACTGGGGGCAGACCTCTGACGCACTTCGCCATGGGCCTCCCGCAAGGTCTCCAGGTCACTGTGGCAAAGGCTACGACACGGAACTCTAACAAGGGCGCCCCTGTGTTCTGCAGAACCCTCTCTGCCCGTACCTGAAGGCGGGTGTTCATTTCCAAAAAGTAGAAACATCTCTGGGAGTCCACCAGGAATTCTACGGTACCGGCAGAGGAGTACTTCACCGCCCTTGCCAAAGAAACCGCCTGCTCTCCCATGGCACGCCGAGTCTCGGGGTCGAGGAAAGTGCTGAGAAACCACAGAGAAAACAAGGGCAACAGAATGGAAACAGGCTGTGAAGCCAACAAAATGAACAACCATGGTCTCAATTACTGGTCTCTGAGTGCATCCTACTTTCTGTTCCTGAGGAGTGGAGAAAATGTCTAATAGACCTTCTTATGCTCCAATGAATAACACTCACATCATCCATCTCAATATGTTGTATTTAAAATGTTGCTGAAGTACGGAACAATTTACCCTTTCTGATAAATGCAATACTCTGGCTTCTTTCAAACGACATCTGGATGAGATCCTTGAATTACTTAACAACTAACTACTAAGAGGGCTAGATGCCAAAGGGCCTCCTTATGTCCGTGAACTTTCTTGTGTTCTTATATATCAACACATTCTACCAAGTTGACAATGTCCTAAAAGTATACTGATGTTTCTGTGTCTAAGCAAGAGATACATCACGTTAGCAGAGCCTGAGCTGCAATTTATTTTTGTTTTTGCCATAATTACCCAAATATAAGCCACACCCACACATTTGGACTGCGGATATTAAAAAAAAGAACTTATACTAAGCACAAGATACCTTTCTAAAAAGAATTGGTTAAGATGCAAAAACAAACTTTCAGCTTTAAATGCAGGGAAATGGAGAGGAATTTAAAAAAACAAAATGCAAGTTACGCAGCAGCCTCCCTTGTATCTGGAAGAAATGAAGGGAAGGAGTTCCAGATGAGAATAAAGCAAACTGATATGCAACGTCACCTAGCCTAAAGCAAAATTATTAGGACAACACCACAATGATAAACCCCACTCCCCTCTCATGAAGTGCATTATCCAGGCAATGGAAGTTCTCAATTCTTGAATTTTCATGTTAAGCTGTGTTGCTGCCTCTAGGGCTTTAAACTTTATCTTATCTGTTGTGACCGCGAATCCACTCCAACCTTCCTTTCAGCCTGATGACTCCCATGCCGTTCAGCACACAGGATCACCTCCTTCTTGAGCACAAAAAGCTACCGTGATCTCTTGTTCATTTTGATTAACTAAAAATGAACAGAAATGTTTTATCACTCAATTCCAACAACACACCGGAACCAAACAAATTGTCATCCCATTAAAGCGCTCACAAAACTTTCAGCACTGTTCAGCACTCCGGTGGGAAATATGTCAACAACCAGATCAACTTTCCAGATTTTTTCTTGCATTCAAATATAAGCAGCAGGCCAATTGTACCACCCTGATAATACATTATGATGGGTTCCCGAAACACGTTTTGTAATGAAAAAGAAGACAGAATTGCCTCTTTAAGACTAGTGACAGAAATGAGGGCTTACTCAGTGTCATGGGTTACCGTTAATGCAACGTCAGGGAGTTCTGATCAGTCAAAATGTTTTTTTTTTGTTTCAGAGGGAGAACAGAGGTGGCCCACCAGATCTGAAGCTGGAAATGCTTTCCAGTTCAGAACCTCCCACAAGAGATGAACAAAAGGTTTGCTGGCATGCTCTTCCATGTCAGTGCACATGTTCTACTCTCCTCTGAGCAGAGCAGGTGCGAGTGAGACCAAAAGCATTTTGGGATTGTTTTTTTTTCCTTTGCCCTCTGTTTCCATGAATTTCAGACAAGAAGGCACACCATCACACACAACACCACTTTAATTCTTGTTTCTTTCAGAAGACAGGTGAAAAGATGCTACAGCTGTCAAGCATCAATGGGTGAGTTACACTGGAGTGCACAGATTTAATTGGGAAAGTCTTCCAAATGCACAGTTTTTAAGAAGTGATTCTAACTCGTAAAGGACATAAGAGCATAAGAAAGGTTACAAACAAGAGGAGGCCATTCAGTCCATCTAGCCCGTTGAGTAGTTAGCTGCTAATTGAGACAAGGTTCTCATCCAGCTATGTCTTGAAAGAAACAAAGGTATCAGATTCAACAACATGGCTGTATAGCTTATTCCATAACACACAACCCTTTAGGTAAAGATGCTTCCATGTTTTTGATTTATATGCAATCCATGTAGGTATTTCCACTTCTGTCCTCTAGTTTGTGTTTCCCTGTTTACTTTGAAGAAGTCCAATAGGTTGAAGATGTCAGTACCTTTGAGGATTTTGAATACTTGAATCAGGTCACCTCATAACCCCTTTAATGTTCAAGATTAAAACGGTTTAGCTCCTTCAGCCCGTCAGTGTAGGACATTCCCTTGAGCCCTGGAATGTAACTGGTTTCTCTTCTCTGGACTTATTCCAGAGCAGCATCTATTTCAAAACATGGCAACCTAAATTCTAAACAATTTTCTAAATGAGGTATTATTAGTATATTGTACAGTTTTAACATAACATCCCTTGATGGAAACTCCACACCTTTAACTATATATTCTTACTTTTAGTTTTTATTTTTTATTGCTTCCCCTCATTGTTAGGAAGATGAAAATTATGTCAACATAAACACCTCAATCTTCCTTAGAAGTAGCCTCTTCATACTCTATGTAATGTACTTGTTTACATTAAACAGCACCAGTCAGGTGTTTGCATAGTCTCAAATTTTATCTAAATCTTTCTTAATTGAATTTGTTGCGTCTAGTTTTTCTGAATTCTCCATTTTTTTGTTATCATCTGTAAATCTGACAAGTTTATTAACTTTACTACACTCAAGATCATCAATATCAATTAGGAAAAGTAGTGCTCTTAGTACAAATCCCTGTGGTATTAAAACATTTGTGCGCTGAGACCTTATCTGTACCTTATCTTGTATTTTGTATCCCCAAATGCCTACCTAGCATTATAAAAATTTAAGTACACCACATTTCCAACTACTTTGTTGCTGCTGGTTCAGAGAACTCTTCAAAAGTTACTTTCCTAAATCCTTGTGGACTATCCCCTTAGACCTACGGATGTTTGATTTGATTTGGCAGTTTAGTACATTTCTTATTCTGGGGCAACGGAAAGCATCTGCAGTCTTACCTAGGTGCCTCTTCCACCACTTTCTGGTTTCTCCTCTGGATGGAGCACTCTCGTTCATTCAACCAGAGCGCATTGCCCTGCTTGTCAGCAAGAACCTTGAAAAACAAGGCATGCAAAGATGGCGTCAGTTACTTGCTGTATGTTCAAAAGAAGACAGAAAAAATTATTTGAGAGGATTGGACTTCAAAGATCTTAAGATCCAATTTAATCCTCACCGCTTAACATCAAGTGTCCAGGTGCCCTTTCAAGCACTGGACATTTCTGAGAATTTTTTTAAAAGAGCAGGTAAAAAGGATTAACTCGGAGACCATCAAAATAAAGCTGTGAAACACTGACCGCAGGGAGTTTTTTTATTTATTCCCTTCAGACATGTTTTGTGCATTATAATAAAACTGAAAGGATTAATGAAGGGATCAACTAAACAGTTTAACAATATTTCAAATAAAAATAAACATTAAAACATTGGATGTCCATGATATTCTAAAAGTTAGGGACAACAGCTCTGGCTCATAAAAGGCAATGAACACTAATAAAAGAAATGACACAAGGAACTGGACCTCAATCAAACCACTAGAAGTATAAAGCATAGCATACAGAATCAACATGCCTAAACCCTCATATTATGATGCTCAGTAAGGACCTAAAGTAATACTTAGGCAAACGATAACATTTTAACATACATCCAAGAAGGAAATCTACTTGACTACCAAGAGTATCCATCATGGAAAGGAAAACAACCTTGTTCTCTCAAAATCTTTTAGCCCTGGGCTCAATTCCTGAGCGAGGAACCTTCTGTGTGGTGTTTTCCATGCGCTCCCCATGCACACCGTGATATTATCAGATATACACGGGTTTTGTCCATGGGCTTTGGTTTCATTTCATCATCCAAAGACATGGTGGTAAAGCAATCTGGCACCTCTAAATTGTCCTTGTGCACCTGTGCCAGAGTGAGTGTGAGAGTGTGTCCAGCAGTGGACTGGTCTCTCCTCCTGTTCAGATGAGTGTCCAGGATAAGCTCCAGTCTGCCACAACCTTCACCAGGAATAAATCGCTTTCTGATAATGGATTGATGGATAGACGATCTTTCATATTGATTGGCAATTGACTTGACTGCACCTTATCACAAATCCCGCAGTGAAACCACAAGACGACAGCACATAACCATGGTCTCCATTTCCTCTCCAAGAGAGGTCTGTCAGGGGGACACAGTCAGGAGTCTGCAGCAAGCCTCACTTCAGAAGCTGTTATCAGGTCAGGTAACAGCCAGGACCTTGTGGCTCCTCAGTACGTCCGATAATCTCACGTACCATCACTCACATTACAGGCCAGCTCTCCTCTGTTATACGTTTAGTAGCATCGCTACCCTGCTCCTGTCTGCAAGGCTGCAGAAGGTATCTTTTAAATGGTTTGAACTTTCCCCATAAATACTAAAGGACACAAAACGCCAAAGGCGTTATTTTTTATTTTTAATCTAAATGCTTCATTGTTTCTTAAAAACATTTTCAGTGAGTTGCCAGCTTAAAGAGATGTATTCAAGACCAAATATAAAAAATCCAGTTCGGCAAAGACTGATATGAGATAAGATAACTTTACTGGCCATAAACAATTTCTTGTTTTAGGAATTTGTCTCTTTGCATACCCCAACTTGCTCTCCATGAGACACTGACAGGGAGAGAAGTTTGGGGTTAGAGTGCAGGGTCAGCCATTTATACGGCGCCCCTGGAGCACTAGGAGTAAAAGGCCTTGCTCAGGGGCCCATCAGAATAGGATTCCTCTGCCGGCCTTGAGGTTCGAACCGGCAACCTTGCAGCTACAGGCGCAGATCCTTAGCTGGTGGCTCTGATATGGACATCCTGTACATGCCAAGCGTTCCAAATGTAAAAAAATCAATTGTACTTACATTGTAAATGATGGACTATGCAGACTATGGCACATGAAATGTAAATGTTTAGAATAGAATGCTTCAATGAAAGTCATGCTATGAGTAATCTTAGTAATCTTGAATCTCAAGGTTCTCCCACCTAACTCCCTTGGTGCTTGGCTGTTGAATTCTCTGATCAATGAAATCAATCAGACTGCTTTTCAAGAGTTGCTTAGATGGCACCCAGTGCATCACACTTGTATCACCTTGTTAAAATGAGGGGGAGAAAACATCATCACCCAAATCAATTGTTATGAGTGAATAGACAAGACTGGGAAATTCTATAATACTAAAATGTCATGAGAAGCATGAGAAGAACATTTTAAGGTAATGAAGAAATTTCAATGACAAAGTCATAAATCTCAATATATCTGGCACTTTAGCCAGACCATGTACTGACTTACTTGTATTTCTATGTGTCGAGGGTTATCGATAAACTTCTCAATCAACAGCCGGTCATCTCCGAAACTTGAAGCTGCTTCTTGGGAAGAAAAGCGAAAACCTTCCCTGCAAGCACAGACAGAACAATCATTTTTGAATGCTGAACAGCAGAAACGTGCTTAGCTAAACAGAACTGGTGTGTGTGTGTATATACATATATATTGTTATTGTTGTAAATTGTTGCTATTTCTCTGGGCTTGTCTTTATTTTTGAAAGAAGTAGATAGAGGACAAGAAAAGAACTCAACACCTCAAGGTATCACACACTTTATGTGGATCATGATCACTGTTGGGGGGAGATTCTAAACTCATCTTTTTTCTGGAGAAGATGAAGGGGTGCTCCGAGTTAATTCTTCATCATGATATTTTGACTCATTTTTAATTATACGGTATGCAACTCATTGTAAATTCATATATAACCATATAAGTATTTTTGCACATACTTCAGAACACCTCACCTTCAAAATGTGTGGTCACCTAAACAGCCTCAATTTCTAAAAGTTCCCAGTACCATTATTATCCTTCAGAATTACTAACTGAATACAGAGGAAACAAAAGTTTTATAAGAGCCATAGCCAAAACCCCAAAAACAACTATTAGGCTGCAAGGAACAGACCTCAATTTGAGTCACTATGTAAAGCCGTCAAACAACATGGGATTAAAACCTACACCATAAGTGAGGAGCAGCAGCGTTTCTGTTATATCCCTGAGCAAGGTACTTGATTTCTCCAGTAATTGTCCTGTTGTATAAATGGGCATGTTTAAAGTTATTGCAAATGAAAGTTTGTTCTAAACTGACTTATCTGGGTAACTAAAGGATTAAAAACAACAGGCATGTACTTATTAGGCATTCTTTTATAGTAGTTCCACTAGATTCCTCAGATTGGTGTTTCTGGATTAACACAATTTTACACACTGAAGCGTATGCTAAATAAAAATCCCCACTCTTCAATCCTTCTTCATAAATCAATATGCTTAATTAATTAATCTATACATCACAACAATGCATAACGCAGGTCTCGACAGGCATTTATATAAATAAAAATAGCAAGCCCATATCTTGAACTCTGATGCAAAAGAACACATACTACAATAAGGAATAAAAGAGGCAGAATTCAGCCTCATTTTATATTACTTCTGGTCTGGTCTTCTTTTGTGATCAAAAGACATTGAGTCATTAAGATGAAAAACTTAATGAAACAATGCACCGTATTATCATCACTAAGTCTACAACAGAGCTACTGACCACAAGATACCATTATTAAATGTTAGTTTTTAGAATATTTCCAACAAACATACTTGTTTAGAGAAAAAAGCAAAACATCCAGGGCTTTTTGTATTGATGTATTGTGTAAAAGGCAGAATTTTGCAATGTAGAAATGTATGCACTAAAAATACCTAGCTGAGCAAATGTTTATATTCTGTTACTAAATATACATTTAAGGAGCTCAGCAAGGAAGGATCATTACTTCTCTCATTCTTGCTATCCCCTTGGAACACATTCCCACTCCTCTCTGAGAAAAAAAATGTTAATTCACATCCCAGTACACAGAGAAGTGTGAATTTGTAAACTACACCATGGAAAAAAAATTGAGCTTTTTAATTTCCATGACCTCATACACTTTTGGAAATTACAGAGAACATTTCAAAATTATGTAATTATTAATTTATTGGACAAAATTTCTGATGGGGTCAATACCCCTCCCTATTATCAAATAACAGCCAGTCTGTACTTAAACTGAATTGTTTATGAACATCCTTTACTTATTTGCTTTATTTTCCACAGATGAAGAATGATACTTTTGTGCTAGATTTTAGTAAGAATACTTGTTCACTTACATAACAATAACATGAAAACCAGTTAAGCACAGAACCTGGATACTGAAATGTCGTTTTAGGCCTCTTTTAACTTGCACACAGCTGAACAAGCCTAAATAAGAACACTGCAAATGCATGCAGATCCCAGTCATATTAAAATGAGCAGACTTGTCCTAAAGTTGTTGTTTTGCCAGAGACTGATAAGAGCTGTCTAGAGCAGGAATGAAGACGGCTACAGTATGTATGGCAGCCTTCTCTTGCTCACCAGTAGAGGATGTTGCAGGCAGTTACCAAGGAGGCTGAATTCTACTCTTCTAAGGAGATGCACTGTTTTTTTAAATATGACTGGACCCTTCAAGCATGTGTGTATCGATTTATGCATGTGCATAAGTACATAAAGAGATGCTATCACTCCCATCCAGCCCCATGGCCTTGTGAATGCAGATGGGAGCCTTCTCTTCCCAGGCTTTCATGAGCTGCAATGGCAGCTGACAATAGCTATCATTTGGGTATCAGCCCACCAACTCCGAGAAGACATCAGAAAGTGGTGAAGGGAGAATGGGTCAGCTTGAAATAAAAAAAGGGGGTCCTCAGCTGCAATCCTTTGTCCACCGGCTCTAACTCAGCACCACTCCACTGGCCCAGTGAAGTCTCCCTTTAATTAGCTGCTTGGGTACGCCGTTTGTTTTGACATAGCAGGAAAGGGAACTTGACCATGACTAACAGAGAACCCTTCAGTGAACACCAGCACAAAAAAACGATACATTCTCCTTTTATGCGTTTTGTTGTTTTTTTTCCCTTGTTCGTTAAGTTTGCTATGAAAAAATCCAATTAGGTTAATTTGAAACAGCCACAGTGTGAGTACTTTATCCATTCAGACTACAGATAACTAACCTAATTAAGACTAGCCTCCTCTCTTAAGCTCTTTTGAATTTGCAAATTAAAAATGTAGCTCAAGATTAGATTGGATTAGATAGCAAATGCAAATGGGAGCACTTTGTCTTTAAATGCCACTAAATTGTTTTCTGCTCCTTCACCACCCAGTTTTCACGCCGTCTGCTTCGAGACGATTTAATGAAGGCAGAGGAGAGAGGGAGGGAAAAAAAAGGAAAGCTGGGAAAAGGGACCATCTGGGAGAGCTGGCTCTGTGTAAACAGTGACAAACAGGAGTGAATGGCATTCCAGTGATTTTCACTAACATGTGAAGCAACGCTAGCTGTTTGGTCTAATGGCACCCTCTCCAACAGTGTAAACAAAAACAACATGCCTGCTGGGCTCTGTTTACACCAGTCATCTGCCTGTTCCAGCCCACAGGACCACCCCAACACTCTCCATCTTACAGACCCCTTTGAACTTTTTTTTGGCGGTAAAATTTATCAAATTAAAATTCAACTGAGGGGCATTGCTCCCCCCCTGCCAAGACAGCTTTGCAAAAGGTACAGTCCCAAAGCTAAGGGAAGGCCCTTAAGCTCCACGCTCCCATTATACGACTTTACCTCCGGTCGGGAGGATGTGCCTCCATCGATAAGCAGTGAGACACTCACTGCGGAACAGCGTTCATGTTCCACCAACCTTCAAGGCTTTTCTCCAAACAGCGCTGATTAGCTCACCGGTTCAGAAAATGAACAGATTGCAGTGAACGGAGGACAGAGTTTTAAGTTTTGCAAAAGTAATGAATAGCAATGTTTGCCAAATGTTTAGGAAGTGCCAGAAACAAGCAAAATTCCCTTCTCATCGAAATTTGCAAGGACTTCACAAATTAAAGTCAGGCTAAGATACTGCCTCCCTTAATTATAGCTAATTACAACAAAAAGTGCAGTGTCGAGAGTATACTCAATACAGATTAGTGCAGGAGTAACTACTGAACCCATTTATTGTTCAATTGCTTTTTGCTATTGATTGGTACATTTTTACCACCTTTTACATTGTACTTCTTGTTGCAAACGCAATTCAGCAGCACGTACAAGTAACACAAACCTTGGAATCTATTTCTATTTCAGCTTTGAAACACTAAGGACACCGTTGTGGCACTCGACATGAATCTGCTGAGATAAAAGTTCCAAAGGCTGCAGAGCTATGAAATCTGGAGAAGCTCTACTGCGTTTCCCCTTTCCTCAGTCATCTCTCTTCACTGACAGGTAGCAGCAGTGGTGATGGAAGCTGGATAACGGGTATTTTTTCAAGGCTTGATTTTTGGACAGGGTCTCACCTGGTCTCTTCATCATCCCAGGCTATCCTCATGCCTTTCCCTCCACCACCTGCTGATGCCTTGATCATGACGGGGTAGCCTATCAGTGGGGAACAATTAGACAGAAGTTCAGGCTTTGATCATTTGGTCATGTGAACATGACAGCTGACCATATGTCCAATATAATACTGAAGACAATAACCACTTATTAAAAAAAAACACCCAAAAACACATTTTCCGCAAAAAACGAGGGAGGCAGCAGCAGCTTGTGCATTTTAATTTAAATGTCTGGAAATCTGCGATCGCTGAAACCTTTTCCCATCCTAAAGACCTGGACAAATGTTATCTGGCATATAAACACATAGGTCCAACTTTAGTTATGTGCAAATAGCTGCAATGGGTTTGTTTTCAGCTAGGTTACCAAGAACAATCAATACAATCTGCACACAATATCAAAACACTTGAAGATATACTGTGTATTACAAGAAAACATTCTGCCTGTTTGGATTTTAAATTTTAATCTGAAAATGACACAAATTGTCACAGTCTGACAGCAAACTCATAACTATGGTATCAGTAAACCCACAGCACATAAAATTAGAACCAGCTACCTTGCTTGCAATGAGATTGCAACACAAGTTTTAGGGGGTTAAACTTAGTCTAACAGATGAATATTTCTTTTTCACCTGGTAAACCTTCATGTACGTAAATTTAAAATAAAACAAATAGCTGTTAAGACGTCACCAAATAATAAGCAGCACCACTGCTGTAAAGAGTAATGTGAATTATCAGCATGGCCCCCATAAAGAGATGTATAGCACATCAGAACAGCTAAAACCAAGGACTTACCAATTTCCCTTGCAATTCTGACAGCTTGGTCTGCATCCTGTAGACGCAGGAAACGAGAGTCAACATTAATCCCAGCAGCTCTTGCACATTGTCCTCAGGGCAGCTATATATTGCTCTACTGTCTCCTTGGATTCATTTATGGTTAGATTTTACAACCTTCTGACCCTTTTCATTTGGGGCAATGTAAAATTAATACCATCAGTTGCAAAAGCCGGTTCTACATCATTATAATTTTACAACACCACTCGAAAACAACAAGAAAAAAAAAATCAGCTGAAAAGAGCTCCTGGAATTACAGGATATTTCTGCACATTTTGGTAGAGCTGTCTAAAAACAAGAGAAACCGATTATTTTTCATTTATTTCTTGTATGACAAAAATGTCATGAAAGCCTTATCACTCCCAACATGTTCCTGAATACCTGAAAAATTTACTGGGGTTGTTGTCCTCTATGTTGTCAGCAGGGGGAGTAGATTCTCTATTGTTTTAAGTTTTTTAAATTGATCCTAAATATAAACAGCAGCTCAGGGGAAACAAACAAACAAGCAAGACAAAGCACTGATTTCCTTTTGATGGACAGATGCACATTTCAGTTTCACAACACAATTTAGTTTAGCTATAAATGCAAAAATCATCTTTTATCATCTACCAAGTACCTTTTAGTATTCCACAGAACACCAAGTTATGAAATAATACTACCAACAAAATTCCTGAAGTTTTAAAAGTGCAACTTCACATTGATAGGATGCACACAACTTTTCAAGCACAAAAAACAGCATCCGTGCTTCAGAAAAGTCAATGGATGAATATTATTATTATTTTTATTATAAGTGCTTATACATTTCGGAAAGATACACGCTGCAGGCATTTGCTTACAAAACAGTGTGCATTTTCAGTATCTGGAGGTCTCCAAAACTGTTTAAATATAGTACTTCTACACTGTTTCTTCAAAAGTTCCACAACTACAAACTAAGCATCATGTATATCATAGCCTATGCTGTATCATTGATGTGAGATTATTTATTATATGACATATAAATTCTATGACTGATCTCAGTACTGTGAGCATTTCTGCATCTTATATTTTGTTGGGTTTGGGTTAGAGTGAACTACTGCATTATCTGGGCTTGTTATATCACTTATTTTTGCAGTTCACTAATAGTTTGTAAATTGCCTTATGCAAAGGCTTTGGCAGAATAAAAACTGTGCATAAGCTGGAATGTGTAAGGAGTTAGGTGCAGGAACTGTCAGCTGGTTGGTGTGTCTAAAGCAACAGGAGCTGACTTATGAACATTAAAATGAAACCCGATAGGCTTTAAAGCTTTCACTGCAATCCCTTCTGAAAGCTGTCAAAAGTTTGGAACTTTTTTTTAACAAAGCAAAAGCCTGAAACCAAAAATTCAGTTCTTTGGATCCTTAAAAGAACACAACGTGACAAATATTAAGAAAATAGGTTTTTAAAGGTTTCAATATTCAGTTAAAACAAAAAAAAAAGACGACTGGCTAAGGAAGCTGGCAGAAACTTTAATTTCCTTTCATTAACTTGTCTGCTCCACAAATCAGAGCTTGTTAAGTTCAAAGAGTTCCAGAGAGCAGCATCAGTTATGTGACTGCCCCCTTTCTTTTTTGTGTGCTGGATGGAAACATCTACATCTACTAATGAGACATTTCTAATAGACATTTGGTTCATGTAGCCGATCAGTGCTGCTGAACACCATTTTCTTGTGATATGATGTCTTTCAGCCCATCTCTGTTGTTTTGGCATCTTTTATTTATTCTCAGAGATGTAAATGCAGGGAGAGGGCAATTCTGGAATGTTAGTGGTCTCCACACATTGGGATTTGCAAATCCTTTGTTCCTGTCTGTGACAGTTATGCGAGAACACTTCTCTTTAACAGCCACTCTGTCAGGAAGTGTTAAACCTGCCAAATGCAGACAATTAGGGTCTCTTGAACAAAATGTATGAGGAGTGATGACTGATAAAGCCCTGCTATTAAAGCAAAGGAGGCAACTTTTTAAATGGCCTTTTTTCTTGCAAATCATACCTTATTTCTGAGAGGAGCAGGGAGCAAAAGTTAAATAGGCTCCTTCACTCCTTGATTGCTCACCTATTTAACCCTGGTCTACCATCTATTTTACAGCATTTGTCAAAAGGAGCTGGAGATGTAAGACGCAAAGCAAACCTCTCCTGCCTCAAACTAATCAAATGCTGCAATGAGCTCTGTAACAGTGTAACACCAGCAACAGGGAAAAAAATATTTCTTCACCATTCTTTTAAATACCATGCAACTTCTTTATGACACTGACAACTCTGATTACAACTGTACCTTCAACCACACAAATCATCGTAACACAAATGATAAAATAATGTAAAGCATCCCATTTCCCCCATCACCCATGATTAAGTTATATATAGGAATTGGTCACTGTAAAAAGATATGGACACTTTTATAACTTTTCTTTTTTAATTTTGTGCACAGCACTTTTATATACAGCACTTCCTCCTGTGTGACCATTGCAGGGCATTTAAAAATCTGTAATAAACATAAGGACCCTAGTATACATCCAACAGAATCGCCTCACCTTGACCACCCCATCAAAGCCAGGAATGGTGTTGACCTTAGCATTCTTGGCTATTAATTTGCTTTCAATCTTGTCTCCCATGGCTTGAATAGCATGTGTGTCAGGTCCAATGAAGGTGACACCTTCTGCTGCCTGTGGAGATAATGAAGGCTTTAACTTTACAACAGAAACATATTAGACAGCAGCTGAGCATTCACACTTACAGGAAAGCAGAACAATAATTGTTTATAAAACCCCCATTTCCCCCCTTTTGTACAGACTGGAAAGACCCACGCTGTAAACAGGCCCTTTAATTAAAACAAACACGTGCGTGACTGCTGCTCCTGTGAAGAAGGCCACAGCATTGTGCTTGCTGTTGTCATGGCACACGACACGATTCTCTGTGTTCCCCTTTCACTAAATAAATTCATGTTTTTGCTTGGAGCAAGAGAGTGAGGAAGCTTAATTACTTTTTGACATTTTGACAATCTTAAAAGCAAAAAAGACTATCCAGATATAATTAAAAAGATCTTAACTGTGCTATGTTGCAGGCTACAGTCATAGTCTTTGACATAGCTGTCTGTGCTAGGCTTTCCACTGCATGACTGCTAATTTAGTGGCTATGACCAATTACTATTGGTCCGCAGAGTGTAAATCAGGACTAAAATCAGATAAGGGGGTAAATCACCATTATAACAGATTATAGACCAAGTGGTTAAAGGATGAAAACATTTTCCAGAAACGTCTAGAGATTTTGATGGTGCAAGGTATTTCTGCTATGGTATATTAAAAAACTCTGAAAAATTGGGCAATTAATCGTTTTTGTTGGACCACTGACACGACAGGTACAACATAACACTTTTTGAGGATGCTCCATGTTATGCTTAGTATTCAGTCACACAGGTTGTCAAGGGTGACCATTCAGATAAAGTTGGTCCATGCATATATTAATGAAGACACAAGCATGAATATTATTTTGAGTGATTTCTCTTATTGTGCTTTGAATGATTGTTTACACCCCTTAAGGGTGAAAGACCTTTGTGAAAAAAGTCCCTTTCTTCATTCTTGTTGTTCTTGTGATGCAGAACGATATCACTTCCTGCCTGCAGTAATTAGGCCTCAGGCCTCTAATAAGAGGACCAGAACCAGGTTTTAGCCAATCTGGCCGTGATATTTTTACTATTGACATTTGCTTTGACATTATTAAAGTGTTCCAAACTGCAGATTTAATCCAACTAAATGAAAAATGTCACAAAAATGTTTGTAAAATTATATGGGACTTTGTCAAGAATCCATTATACATAAATGCTAAAAATATGATACAAGTACTATAATACAGTCAGCTACCCTTAACCTACATATACTCTCAAAAATTAAGAAATTAGGTACTAAAGTATTTTAGGCCATTAGCCTGTAGGATTCTAGGAAACCTCATGGCTACTGCAAGTAATGTATTTGAAACCTAAGGCACTGAGAGCAAAATATTTCAACTGATCCATCACAGATAAAATGCATACATGGACATTTAAATTCCTAATTAACTAGAAATTCTTAACAAAACCTTAATTCTATGTCTTTTGCTGTTGCTTTTATATCATTCCTTTTTTGACATTGGTATGTTTTTACACCAAAACTTAGCTAGGAGAATCATAAATTGCACACCAGATCATAATTTAATAGGAAAACACATACATCAGATGCAAAGAGTCCAACAAACCGATTCCGTACAACATTGTGACTTTTGACAACTCAAACCCCTTTTCTTCATAAATTTCACTTTCCCCCGCTCTGCCTTCTGTTTACAACAAACAAATTGGCTTGTGGGGGGTCTAGCAAGCATCTTCCTGGTGTTAAGAACTCACAGTCACCAGATAGCATTCCACGCTGTGTGATGTGTCCCTCCCCCCCACAAAAAAAAGGCAAAAAGAGAAAATTGTTGTAATTGAGGCACAAAGATGACTCAAAAAAATCTCTCAACTCACCTATCCCCTTCAATTTTATTCAAGCTTCAGTCTTTACATAATAAAGAAACCTGTGGAACTAATCCCCACAAATCTTTTCTGCTTTCCTGCACATTCCTCCGGGCAATGCAGCTCACAAAATGCTTCATTTGCATCCTTAAACTGTACAAACTGTGAATAAGCCTTTTTAGCTGCAAATGTAATTACATCTACATTTCCAGAGGAGAACAGAAGGTTAAACAGCCTTCTAAGATTCATGTTAACTCATCCCTTTTTCTTGCACCATCAACAACACAATGAGCCAGGAATGCAGATGTTCCTTCAAGCCATCTTATCACTTCAATACAGTTGAAATTGGCAGTGGAAATGGAGGTAGCTGCTGATTACATGCAGATAAACGCACCAAACAGAATCAGTGGCCTTTTACTTAAACCTATCAACTTTAATCCCCTCCTTTTTCTCCTTTATTAGGCCATAACTCATCCGCAGAACAAGAAAGACCTGAACATACCTTGCCAGCAGTAGCAATAATGCATATTTCAGTACACTGGAATGTCACATTAGGCTTCACAAAGATGTACAAGGGTTTTAGGTTTAATCCTTTCTTTTCGTGTTTAATTCTATTTATTCCCATTCCACACAAATGCAGAAACAAGGCACACATACATATATTACAAATATTTCTAAGGAGGATTGAGGTTCAGATAAAAGTCCTGGGTTTCCTTCAGGTACTTTCCCGTTCACAAGGGAAAGAGCTCCACAGAAGAGAAGTTCAATGTTTCTTTAACGCCCAGGTGTAAGAGTCTGCATGACAGATATGTTCTGACAGTGGACCCATAATTCTGCTTTTAATATAGAATTATAATTTAATTTATGCTAATCAAGTTCAGTTAGATTTTTTGCCTAATTTAGAGTGTCCACCTCACTCGGCGGGATTTGTTAAAAAGGAGCGTTTCAGGCAAAGACAAATAAAAAATCATCATATACCTTTTTTCAACTTCTCTCTGTAAACACTTAATAACTTGTGTTTCCTTCATCATCTCATAGGAACAATTAGTATTCTAAATACTTTAAACAATGCTTCTCACAGTTCCGTGCCAAGAGCTACTTTCTATTGAAATAAAGAAAAATGCTACTTCTTTTTGGAACTTCACATTTTTACACCTTGCACTGGAGAACTATAAAATTTTGTCCTACTCTATAATAAAGATGGAGAAATATGAAACAAACGTAAAAGCACAAGAGAAACTAAAACGTTTAAATAATTGTGTTTTAAGCTGTTTAAATTTAGACTGCCGTTAAAACAACTATAACACCATGTTTCATAAAATGACACCTAAGCCACCACTTCACTTTTATTCCTGGAGAATAAAATTGGAACAGTTGTATGGAACAGAAGCAAAAACACAGATTGGGTTCAGCATGTCATGTATAATTAGAATACCAAAAATGCTTTGTGCTACAGTTTTAAACGAACAAATAGGAAAAACACATCTGGATACCTGTGATCTATTTTCATACATAAGCATCACAGACAGCTATCACTTTACACTTACAGATAGAGGTGGAATGTTCACATTGGGGCAATGCGCTGAATGGAGTGCTGCATGGACCTTTATTAGGACCACTGCTCTTCACTGACATAATCATTGATATAATGATATAAATCAATATGTCAAGAATTTAGATTCTGGTATAGTTAGGAATCTACTCAGGTTTGCAGACAAGAAACCACTGCAGAAAAAGCTAATTAAATTCAAAAAGATTTAGATGAACTTCAGAGCGGCCAAACACCTGTTCCCACATGTTACCTTAGTCTTATTTTTTTATGTCAACCATTATTGTGAAACTCTACCAGAAAGCATTGCTTCGCTACAGGAGAGTTCAAGTATTAATTATCTTTACTCATTGGTGAAATCTGACAATTTCACCTAACATTTCAAGGATTTCAAATAGTTAATGGAGAAAAAAAATTAAAATCAAATTATTTTTCATAAAATGTTAAGGCAAAGGGTATCCACCTAGAATATTATCTTAGCACATACTTTGAATTTCAGAAAAAACTATTACTTTGTTCAAGTTGCTGTCTTTTCATTACCATTCAGAATACTTTCACATTATAAACAGGGTCACTGATGACAGCTCATGAAACAATTCACAAATATAATATCACCATTATTCTCGGACAGCAGACAATGAGATTTGAATAACATACTAATTAACTGTACAACTATTGTTCTCAACTTTATGTAATCTATAATTCCTTCTCATTATTGTGCTTTCTACCACTACTAATGAACTACTTTGTACCCTATTTAGAGCATGAATCTCAGTTAAGTCACTCTGTATATCTATTATCTACATTTTAAATGCATTGTATTTCCATGACTGCAGTGTTTTTGTACCTTGTAACAAAATAAAGTAATATAAGGTTTGAAGACTGGCAAAGGACAGCAATTTTAAAGAGCAACTTGCAATAGACATTTCACTTCCACCATCCTGAAATAAACTAGTGATTAAGATACTGAGGCTTCTATTTCCATGGTAACACATAATAAAGTTTTGAAGATGCTCCCTTCGCAGTCATTAAGGTTTTAATATACTGTGTTGTAGCTAGCTTCGTCCTTAAGAGGCTATTTAACACAGATATTTAAATGAAATCTTCGGAGACAGTTGTGTTGCTGTTTTCTTGTGAATTTACTCTTTGTAGTTAAATCTCTATGCAATCGTCTTCTAACCCAGAGTCTCTGGAGAAATCGAAATGCTTTGATCAAATAAATCTTCCCATTATATTTGTGGAACGCAAGGAGACAGAAAAAAAAACTGAATGCAATATTTCTAAGGAAAAGCAGATGAATTACATGTTCTCTTTCATGATCGCTGCGCACCAGAACCAGGCAAATGAGAACTTGTGTAGATGCCGCGGAGAGCTCTTTCACAACTGGGGAGCTCTCTTGTCCTTGGATCCATGATGTACTGAGGGAACAGGAAAGATGAAGGTTTGAGGTGCTGTCAAATTCTTATTGCACAGAGCCTCCGTCTGATTCTGGATCGGGGTCCTTTGGTTGCAGACTTGAAGGTGATTTGTTCTTGAATAAACATTTTGAATTTTGTCCTCCATTTGTGAAAATGTAAAACTAATAAAAACTAGTTCACACAAAAGATTAGGTACAACACGCAAACACAGTACTC